TGCCACCATCTCTGCCACCCCTGCCTCTGCTTTCCCACCGGTGCTGCCAGGGCTGCTGGGAGAGGGGAATTGGAGTCCTGGCAGCCGATCCCCCTGGTGCCAGTGTGCCCAAGGTGTGTGAGGGCAGGACGGGGACTCCCGGCACCCCAACATCCCATACCTTGTACATATGCGCAGCCTCTTCCAGGGGGTAGACGGTGTGCAGGCGGTGGTGCAGGGACTCCCGGCACACCACGCAGATGGCCTCCTCATCCTCCTCGCAGAAAAGCTTGAGGCGCTCATTGTGCTGGGTGCAGAGTGGGGTCTCCAGCTCCGACTCCGTCCCCAGGCCGCCCCGCAGCCCCAGCTGCCGGATGCTCTCCACGATGTTGGCCAGCTGCCTGTTGGGTCGGAAGCCACTGCGGTGGCAGGAGGCCCGGCACTGCGGGCAGGAGAAGGGCCCATCGGCCCAGAGACCCTTCTCCTGGCAGTGCTTGGCGATGCAGCCCTGGCAGAAGTTGTGCCCGCAGTCGATGCTGATGGGCTCACTCATGTACTCCAGGCAGATCGGGCAGATGGCCTCCTCCTGCAGCCGCTCCAGGGCACCTGCCAGGGCCATGGTGGCCTCCACAGCCGGGCGGCCTCGCTGGCTGCTTCCTTTCCCCCAGGGTCAACCAGCAGCACCTGGCAGAGCTCGCAGGCAGGCACGGTTGCGGTAGCTTCAGGCAGCACCAGCAGTGCCACAAAAGCCCAGAGGAGAAGCCAGCCTTGCTGCCGTGCAGCACCAGCCATGGGAGCCTCCGTGCCGGCTGGGGGTGGCACTGGCCAGGATAGCTGCAGCCAGCCCTAAAGGCTGGGGCTTCCTCCTGCCCCAGCAGGTCAAAGTGAAAGAAAAACCCTGCTGGGAGAGCAGGACAAATTAGGAACCGCCAGAAATAATCTGTGCCCATAGATAACCCCAGGCACTGGGATGGCAGAGCAGACGGGGTCATTCCTGGTATTTGCTGAGCCAAGGAGCCCGTGGTTGCAGCAGAAACCCCAGTGTTGCCTGCCCGCTCCCTGCTCACAAGCTGCCGGAAGGCGCTGGCCGAGCTCGGTCACTCCTGTGCTTTACCATGCCACCGCTCACACCGAAACATCCCCTGCAACGCCCACCCACCACAGAGAGGTGCAAGCTTGGGTATCAACCAGGGCAGGGCTCAAGGACAGCCTGGCAGGCAAGGGGTAGGAGGCAGAGGCAGCTGCCCAGAGCCCTGCCAGGAGCAAGCAGGATGAGCAATGATCCACCGTGCTGGGGGGGTGTGCAGTATGGAGGAGCTGGGGGGCAGCCAGGACCCACCCCACCACCCCGCAAACCCATCCAGTGTCAGCCTGGACCTCCTCCTAGCCGCCGCTGCCCACCACAGCCTCTGTGAAGCATCCTGAGAGCCAGTGGGAGAAGCTGCATGTTTTGCTCCTTTTTATTATACAAAAATAACTTCAACACAATCAGTACAAATCAGAATGAAAAGTTTCACTGAAAATGCCAAATAAATTAAAAATGCCTTTGTATAAACTTAAATAGAAGAGCTAAACACTGTATTAAATGGTCTGCCAAATTCACAGGCAATAAGAAAGCAGGGACGTATCTCACTGGTGCCCATGAAAGCAGGTCCTTGCAGAGCTGATGCTTGGAGGGAGCAGGGCAGTCCTCATCCACTGCCTGCATTGTTCTTTAGGTGATTCATGATAGCCTGGACCCATTTATCATCAGGTTTGGCACAGATCAGCTTGCCTCTGACTGTGATAAATCTGCAGAAAGAAATCCATTTGAGAGGAGAGGGAGGGGAGAGGGAGAGGGAGAGGGAGAGGGAGAGGGAGAGGGACCACCTGCTCCTTGCCACCGGTGAAGCTCACCAAACCAGACACCTCTATAGCTGCAGAACAGCCCCAGGGAAATATGGGGTGAGGGCTTTGCTTAATGTCATTACAGGTGTCCTGATCTCTACCACTTAAACCACGTCATCCCCAGCATGCCTACTCCAGCTGAGACACCATCCTGCCTGGGTCCTGCTATCTGGGGATGAGGAAGGTGACCAGCAAAAGCTCTTTTTGCTCAAACCTAATAGGGAGGTCCAGAAACTGGCTGCATGGGATGTGGGATTGACCTCTGAGATGTTTCCAGGCTGTTCTCCTAATGTGAGAGAGCCCAGCCTGGTATTTTCCCTTGGCAGGATGGGGTGTGATGTGGGGGTTCCTGGTGCTGCCACCCTTCAACAGAGCAGAGGCCCCCAGGATCTCGTCAGGAGATCTACTCACATCACAGCTGGCTTGAAGCAGTGGCTGCCCGTGTACTCATAACTCTTGATGAGGCTTGAGGGAAATGCTCTGGTGATGTATTGGAAGCAGCAGGGACCAGAAAAGTTGACAGAATCTGGAAGAGAAGTTAAGTTTTCTGATTAAACCAGAAAAGTGCCAGTGGGGAGAAGCAGGGTCAGAAGACCAGAAGGTCCCCACTGGAGCAGATGTTGCTCCCACCATGGGCTCCCACCAGAGCCATCCTTCTCTCAGGGAGCCAAAGAGTAGGAAGACATGCCTCTCCTTTCCTGCAGAAGATGCTCAGAAGGGACAGCTGCCAAGCATTACTAGGCCTTATACAGCAGAAAGAAAGAGGAGAGAGCTTCTCAGAGAGGAGAGCTTGGACTCACTTGGAGAAGAGGAGACCTGGTAGCAGAGGACAGCCACAAAAAGTACAGCAAGGGCAGCTGTGGAGGTCTTCATGCTACTGTTGGGTGGAGATAAATTGTAGGAGTCAGGCTAGACTGCTGCAGAGTGCCCCTTGCTGTACCTGATGCCTTGCTGTACCCTGGGTTCAGCCCGCTTTATAGAGGGAGACAGTGAGCAAGGACGGAAACACACCGGAAACATTGCTGAAAGACATGACACAATGGGAAAAGTGCTGTGTCAAGGGTGCCACGCAGTCCTGTGGAGGGAAGTGCCCTGAGCCCCAATGAGACTAGTGCCCTGATGTGGCATATTATATAATGATATACCACAAAATGATGGAGAAAAGGATATGACCTCTCTTTTCATTTCCCCTGACCAAAGGACTCTGTAGAGAGCCTAGAAGCAATGGTTCAGATCAGTAGATGGACCTCTTGCCTAGAAGTCATGTGATGGCAATGGATGGAGAATGACCATGGCTGTCATGCAGTCATGTTTCCTAGAATATCTGCATCACAGACAAACAGGGGACAATTCACTTCTCCCACAGCAACTGAAGCAGGGAGAGTCGATGAGTCAGGCAGCCCTCCCCGCCTGCCCGCTCAGTGGGTTGGCGAGGCACACAGCAGCCATGCCCTGCCCCGCTTCCAGCACAGTCCCAAGGACACAGGGGCTTTCTCCATGGGACTCAAAAAGCCGTCAGTATGTAAGTGTGCAGAGCAGAGGGTAGAGCACAGTGTCATCCCAGCTCTGGGTTCCTCTTCTGTCCTTGACCATCACTTGCAGTGAGTCATTAGGAAACTTGTTCTGTTTGCAGTTTCACAAATATCAGTGACAGCTAAAATAGCACTATATTATCCATGGATATAAGAATCAGCCATTAATGTTTACAAAGAGCTTTAGAAGCTCATGACCGTGTTGGAACAGCAGAGTTAGCTTAGATGATTATTTGGTTCCAGCAGTGTAGAATCAACACCCTCCTGACATTGCTTTGTCATTGTCCCAGCAGCCACAGACACATACAGAAGAGATTTGCTGGTTTAGCTGGTATTGTTTGGGTAGGAATGGTATCACTCCACGGGCAGAAAAATTCCTGTTGGAAATGCTACATCCCTACAGAAGGGCTCTGCTGACTTCCAGGCAAAGGCTTGTGGATAAAGTCTCAGGAGAGTAGAGGAAGACTGAGGTCTTCATGGTGGTAGTGACTGTGACCGGGTGCTGGACAACCACAGCTGCAGTGAGAAAGCCACATGAGCAGGCTGCCTTTCGTGATGGTCCAGTGAAGAAGGGGATCTAGCTCCTCTACAGAGGAGGAAGCTTACAAAATAGAAACCACTGCCCAAAGTGGTGGCCTTGTAGGAACCCAGAGGAGGAACTAGAAAGGAAATGAAGAGATTCCCTGGACCAGCTGAAGGACAGTTGATTCCAGGCCTTCCTTAGCAGAGACAGGCATCTCCCATCATACAGCAAGGAGGCAGCCTCCATTCAGCCCACAGCCCACGCTTCCTCTGCAGCCATCCCTCAGTCCCCAGCTTTGCCTTTGCAGCAGGGAAGGCCTTGGCACATTCGTTCGCTTCTCTGCATCCCTCTTTCCCCATCAATGGGACTGCTGCCATCCCAGATCATGCTGAGGGGTTAAACTCCCAGAGCAAGAGTGAATCAAGACAGTCCGAATCAAGGTTGAGGTTTTACTTGCCTGTGGCAAAGAAGGACTCACAGTACCCATCTCTGAACAGCTGAGGATCTCAGGATTCATCTCGGATCCTGCCTGCTCTATAATCCCCCTTGTCCTGAGCTCCAGAGCCCATTCAGATGCTAGTATGAAACCTTGCACCTCCAGGGGCATGAAGTCCCACCACCAATGTCCTGGGCTGCATCCACTCACCCCCACACTGCACAGAGTGGGGCTAGGAAGACATTAGACTGCTGCTGGTCCATCCCTTGAGCGATCAGGAGTTGCTCATCTTGCCAGAAGCATCTAGTTTAATCTAGCAGGGAGCCTTGGGAGAATGGCTGTCCCAGTGAGCTGCCAGGAAGGGGCCAGGCAGGCTGCAGCATGCTTGGCACGAGATGTTAGTACCAGCAACAGCAGGGCCAGCCTGGAAGGAAGGTGTGTGCCAAGCCACGATGCCAAATCCACAGCACCTCCGCACTCCCTCTGTCTCCCCGTTCCAGCTCTTCCTGTGACGTGTACCCATCTCTGCTCCCGTGACGTCTGGGGCAGAGACATAGCAGCTCCCCTCCATCCCCATGCCCAATTCAGCCTTGCTGCACCTCCAGTCTAGCCATAAGCAACTCCCCTCACCCTGCACCCACGCTTCCCCCACCTCTGGGAGCTCTTGGCACCCTTTTTCCCCAGTTGCTTCTGAGGAATGCTGGGGAAGGCGTAGGTGAAGGTGGGTTGCTGGGTAGGGAGCAGTGTGTATAGGCAGCAGCTCCCTGGTCCGTGCTGGCCCCCTTGCACACCCCTGTCCCCACTGGGGCTGGCCATGTGTGACTGACGGACAATGTGCTGCCTGAGACAAGAGATGTGACAGCTTGACGTGCCCAAGATAACAGACCAAGACTGACACCCCTGCCTGAGGCAGCAGACAGCAGATTGAGGCTGGGGGTGCTAAAAACAGGATTGGAGACAAATCTGGCTGAGTGGCAGACTGGGAAACCACATGGAAAGATGAGATTGAGATCAGATTGAGATGAGACTAGATGAGATGATCATGATGCACTGATGACCTGCTAACCTAGGTGCCACCAATGTCTACCACTTTGATTCCCCTGCTCCTGCCATTTCTACCAGTGCCTTCAGATGCAACATTTGCACAGACAAATTGTCCCTGTTCAGACAAATCTTAATTCGTCTCCACACAGGGACTAGAATAAAACTGAGAGGAGGAGAACAGGCTGGGGAATGAGCTGGAGATGTCATCACTGATGCAGCTCACACCAACACAGCCGAGCTTGGAGTTGCTTTTAGCTGAACGTTCTGGATATCCTTGCAATACTCAAACACGGGTTTGATGGAAATGTCAAGATTCATTCTGAAAAATCAGTATTTTCTATCAGGAATATAAATGTGCCTAGACATTTTCAATGAATTCTCTCTCCTTTCAGATATACCAGGCTGTGTTTCCTGCTTCCATTCATTGCAAAAGGAATTCTTGGAGGTCTTGACACCTCTGTTATTCCCCCTATTCACTGTTTTCCTCAACTCTGTTCCTTCCTTGAAGGAAGATTTCGTATTTCAGTCTTGGCTGCTCCTTCCTGCCAAGACAAATAATGCAAATCTCTAAATATTTTGATTTCTAAAACCTCCTTCATACCGTACATCCTAAATAGTAGCTATTTATGGAGTCTGTAAAACCTCTGCCTTATGGTGTTTCAGCTTTCAATAGAAACCACACATGGTATCTTTGGATCTATCACCAGAACAGGTTTGCGATGCAGGAGGAAGTCTTTTCTTAGCCCTGAAGGCAGCCTGCTCCACGACACCAACTCAGGTTGGAGTCATGTCTGGGGGATCACATTATCACAGTGCCCCTGGCAGCTGCCAGATCACTAACACAGGAAATCCTGGTTTTAACTGGGAGCAAATCAGTTGGAAACAGAAAGAGAATGACTAGGGGAAGTCAGTGATGGCAGGGTGGTGCAGCTCCAAGAAAGACAAGCAAGATCTCACATATGAAAAGGTATTTTCCAGATGGACTGAGACTTTCCAGCATGACAACTGAACTCTGCAAAATGATGAGTGGCCTAGAAAGAGGGACAAATAGCCATTATTCACTGTCCCAGAGGAAGAACCATGGACCGTCAAATGAAGCTGGCAAGAGCCAGGTTCAAAAGGAACAGAAGGAAGGAGATCTTCCTATGAGGAGCTCCTTGCCGAAGGACATGGTGATCACAAGAAAATTTCCATGTGTCTTAGTCAGGGCTTGTATTTCAAAGTGATAAGCTCAAGATTTGTAAAATGAGAATGGTTAGAGGCTAGGAGTGCACTCGAGGGAGGCAGCACAAATGATTGCCTTTCTTTTCAAGGGGTCTGCTGTGGCCACATCTGGAGATACTAAGGCTGGGCTAGATGTCTGCATCCTCTGGGACTGTTCATATTTGATTCCCCAGGACAATTGGTCCTACAGGACTGTAAGGTCTATAAAGTAGCTTGTGAAATTGCATTGAAATCCCTGGACTGAAATTTATGTATCAAGATATGCCTCTAGATGAATGTTTTTGCTAAATGTCAGCAGAAAGACACCAACAGCTTCTAAGCATACAGCAAGGCAGAAATATATTGTTGCAGTTTGTGCAACTTTCCAAGACAAATTTGGGGCACCTAGAAAAGTCTCACTTTTGGACCAAAAGCCTGAAGAGCAGGAGGTGGCTGGCTCCGATGTCAGGATATGGCCCTCACAAAAATTTGGTAGTACTTCCAAGGACAGACGTAGGCTACCTTTGCCAAATTACAGCCATGCATATGTACCCTTGTTTCCTTGAAGATGCCTTCAGCATCGAGCACCAACCTGCCTGGAGATGAGCAGGATTTGCCCAGCAGCTAAGGCACTGCATGATTGTTTTAGCTATGGCAGCTGAGGTTCAGAGAAACTAAGAGAAAAACATTTGGGTGTTACCTTTGAGACATCCAGGACGTGACATTTCTGAGCACTTGGCATTACGTGGTACTTTACACTTGCAAAGTCTGCCTCCTGTTGTCTTCAGCTGGAGGTACGTGTGATGTCTGCATGTCAGACTGTAGGATTTCAGGAATCTAGAAAACAAAGACAATGCTCCACAAGAGCACTGGTGAATGTTGGGTTATGCCCATACCATAAAGGTAAGACAGGGATAGGCTGGCTCTCCAGATCTACAGCCCATGCCTTCCTGCAGCCCCTGCCTCGTTCACTACCCACACTCTTCTGCAGCATGCACAAAGGTCCTACACACCCCAAGTCATACACAGAAAGCCTTTTCTCAGTGATCACGTTCTGTCAGCCAAAGGCTGTCTCATAACTGAAGCAAAGCAAGCTTGCCACATCCTAACTTGGGAGAGAACAGACTTTCCCACC